AGAAAACAGCTTTATAAAAATGTCTCAAGTTTCCACCTGGACTCCTGCCAGGTTTCCTGGTTTTCTTCCCAGCAGCGTGACCTGCCCAACATGTGTTATTTTTTGTGTAATAATTACAGAAGTTCTGGGCAAATTCCAAACTCGGTGCTCTGTCAGCATCTCAAGTGGAGCAGAAAAAGAGCTGCACCTCGGTGGGGTAAAATTAGGAGAAGAAACACTTTTTTAAAAAAATATTTCCAATGTAATAGCCTGGAATGAAAGTTTTCTATTCCAAGACTACATGAAATATATAAGGAGGCGATTTCTTTCACCTGTCTATGTAGGAATAAGAAAAGTGAAAGACAAAGATATAAGGAATTTTGAAATGACACGGCTATTTCTTACATGCCAGCTTATACCTCCGTGACAGATGTCTGCATCCATACTGAACTCAAATACCGTGGCCCTTTCTCAAACACGTGGACAAGAAGAGCCCGAGATGGCCCATCTTCGGGTGCCTGCAGCGGGCCTAAAACAGGTCTGCTGGTGGACAGGCACCACGCGGGGACTGTGGGATACGCCTATTAAAGAGACTAGTGTTCTAACGTGTAGGACATGAACACAGACACCGTGTCTGCGTGATCTGAAATGAAGCAGCGAGAGCAAAACAGCTTAGCGTGTCCTGGATGGAGGAGCGAAACGTTGAGGAACCAGGGTCAAGAGCACGCCCTACGGCCACCGCAGGGGAAGCCATCAGGACGGCCGGCTCGGCTTCAGTCTCCAAACTCCAACCACACAAAGTGGTCTACGGAGCAGGGCACAGCCCCCCTTGATGGTAAACTCCCACGTGCCCCCCACCTATGCCCAGGCACGGCGCCTTCTGCCTGTCCCCCACAACCTCCAGCCTTCTCCCAGAGCTGACTGCCGGCATCCTGATGACTCCTGCCCACAAGGCTTCCAAGAATATACGCGCTCAAGAGAAATGCAAGGAAAACTAAACCATCAGCCCAGTTCCAGAACAGCCAGCCCGAGAGGGACTAAGATATCCTCCAGACCCAGGTTGGTCCACTGAAGGCAGCACTGCCAAACATTTGTGGTAAAGGCCCAGACAGGTCCTAAGTTTTTCAGTCCAAAGTTGCTTGTCAAAAATACTCAACTCTGCAGTGGAACCCTAAAAGCACCGCAAACACTGTGCAAAGTGATCAACGTGGCTGTGTCCCACCAATACACAGACAGCCACAGTTTGCATTTTGCCCACTTCTGAACTTGAGGAACATTTGCTTGGCCCTCACTGTCAAATCTCAAGAGGGTAGTAAGCGCTACATGAGCAGCTTCCTTGCTCAGCTCTGCACAGTGCCCGGGCATCACCTGCAGCCATCACAGCCACCAACGAGGAGCTCCAGGAGCAGCAGCAGCAGGCGCAGCAGCGAAAGGCGTGATTGCATCAGAAATGACAGAGGTAATATTAAGTATCTACTTCCTGGCAAAGATGATATTAAATTTCATACACACAACAATCTTCCAAGGGAAGTACTGATTTTTCCCACATCCAGATAGAGTGGGCCAATGAGATACACCCATTGGACCTGAAGCTCAGTGGACTAAGCACCTGCTTAGGCAAGCACATGGATCAGGGCCCAGTTCCAGGCACCACATGCCACACCAGCCCTGCCCCTGGGCACACTCAGCCTGCAACTGACACAGGGCATGGTGGTGCATGCCTATAATCCCAGCACTGGGGAGGCTGAAAACAGAAGGATCACTACTCCAAGCTGTGTGGTGAAACCCTGTACCAAGTACATAGAATAATAATAATAATAATAATAATAATAACATTTTAAAAAAAAAGATGGGGAAACCAAAGCTCCAAGTAGTGTCCTTCCAAAATCCTAACAGATAGCACTGAGATTTGAACCATGATCCACCTATAAGACTGCAAAATTCATACTCTCATAGGCCAGACTGGCACAGTCCTGTCCCAAAGACAGCATCAGAGGAAGAACTGGAGGCATCAGAGAATGAGAGAGATGCAGCTCAAAGCTGGACCACTAAACCAGTCTTCCAGACACGGCCTGCTTCTTCTTTGTTAAATTAAAAATCATTTCCCCAACAAAGAAAGAACCTGAATTTGTCAGTAACTTTTCAAACATGACTTATGCCTTCAAGTATAGACCCACAGCCAAGCGTCCCCATCTCATCTGTCCTGGCTTTCATTAAGGCAGCAACAGCTCACAACTAACTCCTTCCTGCCACTGAAGGTCTGGTGCCCTTCCAGACCACGTTGGTACAAAAAGTGCCCTGACAGTCAGGTCTTCTCGGGGAAGTACAGAGGCTTGAAATCAAGCACCGACATGATGCCACAAGTGGAAGATTCCACACCTGACTTTGTGCCACAGGTCACTGTCAAAGATAGGCACACTAAAAATCCTGTATAAAATCACCCTGAGGCGATGTGTAGAATGTGTACATAAAACCTAAGTGAATGTGTCATGTCCAGCGCTGGGATCCACGCCCAAGGTATCTCACCACGTGCCATGAGGTATTCCAAGATGCAGAAACCTCCCAAATCGGAAGCACCGCTTGTCCCAAGCATGCTGGGTAGGAGACGCTTCATCGTACTGTCATCTAGTATTTGTCTTCTTCTTCTATTCTTCTATATCTACCTTACTGGACCTTGCAAAACAGTGCATATCTCGCTCAGGGATTCCTGTGACTCCTATCCAAATTACGGCTGGAACAATTTCATCTAAAACAGGAGCAGACAAACTGCAGCCTGCGACGCCTATTCAAATGGTCACCTACTTTTGTGCAGCCTCTAAATGAAGACTGGGTTCTGTATTTTCAGACGGTGCAGGGAGGGAAATACCAACAGAATAGCAATTCGTGAACACGAGAGTTAAAGAACAGCTGTGAAAGGCGCAAGTCAACAACTTCTGCGGATAACCCACTACTGTTGTGGACTGCTGGACTGGGTTGGACCGTTTTTGCTCAATTCACGCACCTATAGTATTTAGATGCCACTGGAATACCCATTTCTGATAGGACTAAACAAAAAAAAGGGAATACAAAGGAAAGATCATTTTGTATCTGTATATGCAGAATAGTTAGGATAGATATACAGCTACTTTCGCTTAATTCAATGAGAAGAAAGATTTGTACTAACAATGTTTGGACAGGATATCCTGTCTGCATCTTGTACTATGGATAACCACTAAGAAGAAAATAATGTACAGTGTATTAATTATTGAAACTGTCCCATTAATCATTTTTGAAACTGTCTCATTGCTATTTGTTTCTCAATAAAAGAACTAGAGCCTCGCTGTTCACAAGGTTTTCCCAGAACACTGGCAGTCTGTCCACTGTTGTGTAGCTGAGTTCAACATCTGTGGCAGCAGACACCAGATGAGCTGAAAAACGTAACAATGTTTATTCTCTGTTGGTTTGAGACAGCGTGCCTTACCCTGAATTTGAGCCCTCTACCTGCCTCTTGACAGAAGCAGTGCCCTAACACATACGCAATACAGTGCAGAAGCACCAAGTGCAAGAGTCCACGTATGCTACCTACCGCTGGTAAGGACCGCAGCAATCACTCCCATCCCAAGGCCGGCACCACACGCCTGTTCGTAACTAAGTAACGGGCGAAGTTTTAGGCCTTCATCTCTGTGCTGCCATTTGCAGTGGGAGGTGCTGATAGGCTAGAACTTCCAATTTCCTGATTAACAGCATCATTATTCTAAATTGATGAACTGTAACTAGCAGGCTGCTTCTTGCTTTTTCCTGACCCATAAGAGAGCCACAGACTACACCATGATGTATCTTCTCTGGGTCTCTTGGCAAAAAGTTAGACAGACAGCTACGTACGTATGTCACTTTTGGCCTTCATCATTCAATTTCCTTCACTCATCAGAGCTGGTGACAGCAAGGCACTAATTAGATAATCCTAATCACAAAGAAGAGGGGATGATGGAAGACTTCAGAATCACTATCTGTTAGCCGCAAAGCAAAATAGATTGGCTATTCTCCCTGTAGGGGCAGGAGATTTATCAATAGACAAAAGAATGCAAAAAGCCAATAGATAAGGTGTAATTAAAGATCAGACCTATAAATTTTACACTGGCATAAATTTAACAGGATTTGCAGGAGAAAATTCAGGATTTAAGACCCGAGTGTTACTATGAAGAGTGTCTTTCAGTTCTTCATCCAACAATGCTTAATACATAAATTTATTATTATGACTAAAATGCCATTTCTCCAAGCCCTCACCTGCAAGAGCATTGAATTATTCACAGCCAAAGTATAGTAATTCCCAATCATGGTCTATGTTCTTTAAGTATTCCTCCTTAATTAGCTACCATCCACTATTCATATTTTTTGAGCTTCAGTGTATCTCAGAAATAACAATCGGCCTATCATATTTTTGGTAATTGTAGAAACCATGGTCAAGAAAGATCTCTACGCTGCTGGGAGTTTCCCTTCTCTTCTTAAAAATGCAAGAACATTATTTCCATTGTAATAGTGAGCAACTTACAGCAAGACTCTCTCACTCACTGGTCAAAGGCTAGAAGGAAAAACAAATAAAAGGACCCCAACATACTGTACAAAACCATTCAAGCAGTAAGGAGACTGGGACGTAAAGGCTGGTTTCTAGATTAGAGCCCACTGCACCACTGGCTGCTTTCGGATATTCAAATAGCTCTGTAAGCTACCAAGACAAGCCTTGAACTCCCTGCTCCCCGAATCACAGGCAGCCAAAAGACCGGGGTGAGGGCGGCTCTGCAGCATCTTTTGGAAAGTTCTGAGCTTGGAGCAATAATTCATTAACGAGGAAAGTGTGGAAAGAAATGCAAATGCTGGGGAAACAGGTTGGAAACACAGGTGGGAGAGATCTGAGAAAGTCAGCGTTTCAACCGTTAGTGAACCTCACGGTGGCTGGAAGAGGTGAGCTGGGGCTTGAAGGACATGAAAAGTGGCGGGTTGGTGAGCGCAGGGAGGGACATCAGGGTCCCCAGGGGAACACTCACCTGAGTAGGCCCAGTACGGGTCTCCGGAAGCTTTGCGCCTGCGGATCTGCACCGAGCTGCCGCGCCTGCCGTCCTGCGGGGCGCCCGCGTAGCCTTCAGTCAAGGCTGGAAGAGAGGGAGACAGGCAGTGAGGCCAGGTCCTTGTCGTGTACACACCCAGGCGACCTCCAGGCGCAGACCTAGAATGGCCGGAAGAGCTTCCCGGTTGAGGGGAAAACAAGCAACAGGCGGCGCGGAGCAGCTCCGGCCAGCACTCGGGATCGCTAGCGCAGACGCTCCCTTGGCCGTTGGAAGCGGGGCACAGGCTCTGCTTTCCCCGCCTTAACTCAATCTGCAGTCACTGCCCGGCTGTGCGCACGGTGGCCCCGACGCGGCGCCAGCGAAAGCCCCGAATCGCCCGACTCCTAGAACCACGGCCTGCAGTTCTGGTTCCAGTTTCACGAATAAACACACATCCTAGGCACAGGTGCACTGGCCTCGTTTAATCATCCCAGATTACGGATTATTGGATCTGTGGGGCAGACCGAGAAATTCAAGCTCAGAGCCACCAACTGGGCCCAGGCACACCAGCGAGCAAGGGGCAAATCGGCACCGGGAAAACATATCTGTAGCGGCATCGCAAGCCTGGCCGCTGCCACCAGGCCCAGCACACGGGCAGGTCTGGGAGGCCCCGTGCAGGGTGTATCATCTGAATCCCACATCCTTGGACCCGAAAATAGCCATCTATGGTACTGAGAACAACAAGAAGGCGTCCTCCGCCAAAGATGTTCAAGGAAAAAAACAAAACAAAAAACAGCACTGCTTAATGATGTACTTTTGAGATTCTAAAGGAATCCAATCCACCAAGCAGAAGCAAAAATATTCACCGCCACTCCACAGAGCTCCATCTGCCCGATCCAGCGCTCAAAGTCTTCTCCCCTCATCTTCCTCTCGGAAGCAAATCTCGCCTGCTGGGAGCCCACACCTGAATGCACTGATGTGGAGGAACACAAATAGCACAGGTGCCCGGAATGCAAAACGAAAGCGAATGATACGCAAACAATACACAGCACCTGACTATGTTAATATTTAAATGCACCCAAACAAAATCAAGTGCGCTTTTCAACAGCAAAGAAAACAGGGGAACTGTACGTTCAATTTAAGATGAAGATGGAAACGGGAAAACAGAATACATTCTCGATTGCAAATGAGCCAGTAATACCTCTAATAAGGGTATTCGCTTTGATGAGAACATGACAGTCACAAGAACAAGAAGGAAACGTGTTGAGCACCTCACACTTCTACTTCGCTTGAAAGACTATCTTTACCACAAGCTTGAAAAGATTCCACAGGAGTAAGCTCTTTAAAGGAAAATGGGGTTCTAATATACTCCAAATAAACACTGAGACATAAGCCTATCGTCACTGATATCTGCTCACTGGTCCTGAATTTAGATTTTTAAAAGATTATCTTTAAAGTCTGACGAAGGCTTACCGTCTCATCCAATCCCCCCTACAATTTTGTAGATGAATCATTCAGGACACCAGGAAAGTTGACCACTATGAGCTTCTCCTGATCAAAAATAAAGTTTTTCTTACTCTTCTAATGACTTTATCTTCTACTAAACTTTACTAAATTAGGTCTGTGTAGTTTCTGTGCATATTTGAAACTTATATATCTACTCATTGTGCTTCAAGAATTTTTTCCCCAAATAATCCTTTCCTTGGTATCAAGACAATGAGGAAATAATGTCCCCATAATCTAAATAATAAATGTAATTTCTATTTGGATATGTGGTTGAGCCTTTGTTTCCACATCTATAAAATGGAGTTGAAAACAACAACTTCATATTGTTAGGAAGATAACACAACTTATTATGAGCAGGGCACCTGGTAGTGCTTTTGCAAGTCCTGCAAACTGTTAAATAGTATTAAGCGCAGAGCCATGGACTTCGACTAAGTACAATCAAACCAGTATATGAAAGTCATCACAGGAACTGAGCTTCGACTGGTAGCAGGAAGCTCTGTCGCCAATGAACTGACTAGTTTGCAGGCAAGTAACCGCTCTACGTATGACCACTTAATTGGCTGGCTGACCACGCTGTAGCCACTTACTGATTCTCCACGTCTCCAGCTCATTTTTCAATGAATCTGTCAGATGGTGATGCCGCGGTCCTCAGAACTTTCTCTACAAGTAGGCAAGGGCGCTGCTCAATTTTGCAAATCGTTTTTTTTCTTTTTTTCCCTCAAACTGTACTAAATTTAACTGGCCTAAGGGATTTTCCTTTTTAACACAAAGCAGCAGAAATCTGCTTCAGACTCTCAGCTTCTGGGATAATCACAGCATACCCTCCTCCACCTAACTACACACCATGGGCTGGCCAGCCAGACCCTGCCGGCTGTGAAGTGGGCCATGTTGGCCGGAAACGGGTGGATCCATGCGCAACTGCCGGCTTCAGAGACCCAAAGCCTCTCGCGGGTGGTTAAGGACCAGCAAGGGATCAAGAAAGGGACTAAAAGTGGAAGCAAGGCAGAAAAGAAAGGACCAATAGGAGAATTCTGGTGACCACGTGGAAGTCCTGGGCAAAGCCAGTGTGAGGCCAGCCCCATCCTAAGCCTTATACTTACTTATAGAAACCAGTGACCAGTGAAGGTTCTCTCTTCTGCCTCTTATGTGCAAGATGGAGACAATAAGAGTACCTCAAACAGTCACCTCAAGGCCTCACCATCAAGTTCTCCATCCCTGGAAGACACTGTTGGAATACAGGTCTGACTGTGATCCCTGGGCTTCTTTTAAAAAACAAACCCGAAAACCTAGGCCTGAACCTCGCTGGCTGAAATTCAGATTTCAGTGTCTGCAGTGAGACCCTGATGTGAGTACTTTAAAAACACAAAAGGTCTCTAACTGTTTTTTGCAAGAGCAGCCGGGTCTGGACAGGTGGCCCAGAAGAGCCCCTAGGCCTGCCTCAGCCTTCGGGGAGCAGGCCTGCGTTCCTTCCACTGCGCCTGGCTCCCAGTCATTCTATTTTGAAGCCAGACAGAACGAACATCCCTACTGAGCTGGACCAAGGATCCATCAGGTACCGCTCCTCTCTGACACCCCGAAGTCTTGCCCTCACAGCCTCCAACTCTGGAAGTGAAGTTGGCACTCTGATAAAGACTGGCCAAGGGGCTGGAGAGATGGCTCAGTGGTCTAAGGCACCTACTTAGAACAAGCTTGGCAGAGCATCAGGGACCGCGGTTCAATCCCCCAGCACCACATGCCAGCC